AGCTTTCTGTTTTTTGTTATCCCTAACATTAGATTCCAGGAATCTAATGAAATCCCTTCTATAATTTAATGTTAGGAGAGTTTCCCAGTGAATTTAAGGCTACTAAATTCCACAGCCCATTGTTCTTCTCTTTCCTAGTTTCCCAGAAAGACCTGGAGCTAAATTTAATGATCTGTATTAGGTTGGGTGTTTTCGTAGTTATCATCTACTTTTCTCAGTGTTTCCCCTTTAAGTTTTGTAGTCTAATCCCCTGCCCTTTTTTTTTTTGGTAGAGACAGAATCTCAGAATCTCCCTCGGTAGAGTGCCTAGAGTGCCGTGGCATCACATAGCTAATAGCAACCTCCAACTCCTGGGCCCAGGCGATTCTCCTGCCTCAGCCTCCTGAATAGCTGGGACTAGAGGCGCCCACCATGATACCTGGCTATTTTTTTGTTGTGGTTTGGCTGAGGCCGGGTTCAAACCCGCCACCTTAGGTATGTAGGGCCAGTGCCCTACCCACTGAGCCACAAGTGCCGTCTGTAGTCTAATCCCTTTTAGAAATATGCTATATAATACAAATTAATAATGTCAGTGTTTTATCCTTACTCCTTACCTTCAGTTTCCTTTCAGTTTTTGAAAAATACTGTTGGCTGGGTAAGGAAGCTCATGCCTATAATCTGAGGCCTCTGCAAGGCCAAGGAGGGTGGATTGCCTGAGCTTAGGAGTTCAAGACCAGCCTGAGAAACAGTGGTTCCCTGTCTCTATTAAAAATAGAAAAAACAGCCATGTGTTGTGGTGGGCTCCTGTAGTCCCAGCTACTAGGGAGGCTGAAGCAAGAGGATCACTTGAGCCCAGGAGTTTGAGATTGCTGTGAGCTATGATGCCAGAGCACTCTACCCAGGGTGACAGAGTGAAACTCTGTCTCAAAAAACAAACAAACAAAAAAACCGTTGTTGATCACTCCTTGAAACTCTCCTGTCCTTGACTTTCAGTCAACAAATACTTATTGAGTACTTACTAGGTGCCAGGCACTGTTGTAATTCTTCTCCTGACTCAACGATTACTCTTTCTCATTCCATTTACTCTGTCACTTCTGGACCTTAAATGGTGCAGGTCCACCAAGGTTCTGTAATAGATTCCATGATTTTCTCACTCTGTATTCTGTCTCTTGACTTAGGAACAATCTCTTACTTGAAACTGTGGGAGCCAGATATGCTTCAGAATTCAAAATGTTTGAACTTTAGCAAAGTCATAGGATGTATCTACCACATGTTATGCAACAATTTCGACAGAGAGAAGCAGCAGTCATCAAATATATTAATACTTCTGTAGGAATATTTACATGAAGTGAGTTAAAAACTATAAACAGCGGCCCTCCAATTCTTACTGGGATGTTGTTGCTAGATGAATTTTGCCCTAAATTTTAAGAATGCTTTAGGTTTTCAAACCATTTTAGATTTTGACACTGCAGATAAGACATGGCAGATCTCTAAAACTCTCTCTACATTAAATATTTAGGAAGATTGTCTCTCAAACCTATCTGGTCCTACATTTCCAAATAACTCCTGAATGTCTTCATTAAAGGAGCCATCTAATAGTTTAATTGGTATCAAAGCAAATTTATTGTCTTCCAACCCACTGACCTTTTTTAGTGTTTTTTTCAAGATGTGGGTCTTGCTATGTTGCCCAGTCTTATCTCAAACTCCTTAGCAATCCTCCTGCCTCAGCCTCCCGTAGCTGGTACTAAGTTCTGTGACACCCTGCATAGCTTCTTTCTTGGTTCTTCTTCTGTTAGCTCCTAGTCTCATAACCCAGTCTTATGGAATCCATCACAATATACTGAGAACTCCTTACTTCCTGATATTGCTACAGTACTTACAGTGGTTCAGGCCTTCACTACTTTTCCTCTCAGCTTTTGGCTTTTCAAATTAGGCTAGATCAACTAATTCCCCCCAGCTTTTGGCTTTTCAAATTAGGCTAGATCAACTAATTTATTCATGCACTATGTTAGACATTGGGAAGTACTGATAAGTCAGGTTTAAGTTCAAGTTCCTTATCTATAAGGACCTCATCTTGGAACCATTAAAGAGGATAAGATAGCTCTATATGTCAATTGCCAAGACACTATAAGAACTGTGTGCTGTGGGACAGTATGTTGAAGGCCTATGGACAACAGTTTGTCTATGTAAAAAAAGTCCTAGAAAGCTATACATCAAACCATAGCAGTGTCTCTAGGGAGACACAGGGAACTTTGTTTTCTAATTTTTATTTTTTAGTGTTTAAATTTTAAAAAAGGATATGGGCTCAGTGCTTGTAGGTCAGTGGTTAGGGTGCGTGCCATATACACCTGGGCTGGCAGGTTCGAACCCAGCTGGGGCCTGGTAAACAACGACAACTATAACAACAACAACAAAATAGCTGGCCTTGTAGCAGGTGCCCCATAGTGAGACACTGTCTCAATAAATAAATAAATAAATGAGGATATGTATTTTAATCTTAAAAAGTGGTTATTAAATGTGATGAGAGATGTGAAAATGAAATATAACACGGTATCATTAACTCTACCTAAGTTAATCTTTTTTTTTTTTTTTTTTGACTGGGGCTGGGTTTGAACCCACCACTTCCAGCATATGGGGCTGGCACCCTACGCTTTTGAGCCACAGGTGCTGCCCCAGTTAGAGAAATCTTAGAATGTTTTCCATGGAGCAGAAAAGCACACAACCGAATCAAAGCAAATAGCAGGTTCAGTGGAAAGAGTATTGTTTGTCTGGGAATAGCAGATTGGGTGCTTCAAGAGTTGAGATGGAGTCAGATGTGGTCAGATTAGGAAGGCCTTCTACTACTAATTGGGGGTTATGAAATGTTTTAAAATTAATTATGGTGACACAACCCTGAATACAAAAGAAGCCACTGAATTCCACACTTGAATTAGGTGAATGGTATAAGTAAATTTTATTTCAATAAATTACACAAAAAATCTGTGACCCAAGGTAGGAGAGCAGTCTTTGTTCAAAGTATACTCATTCAAATTGAAGTGCTGGAGGGCATCCAGGTGTAGATGTCGAGCAGCTCAGGAATGAGGTTGGGGCTCCAGACACAGCACCATAAATGATCAGCATAAAGGATGTACTTGAAGAAAGCAAGTACTCAATTCATTTAGTCCAATCTGCTGAACACGGTAGCTCAAGTGTACGTTTCAAACAGGACCCCATCAGCATTTAGTAGCACCAAGTGGTTTTTTTTGCAGGTTTTGCCCAGGGCGTCACATTTGAACCCAGCACCTGCAGCATATGGGGTGGTGCCCTACTCCTTTGAGCCACGGGCACCACCCTAATAGCAGCGTTTTTAAGAGGTTATCACAGAATTGAGGCCTGACTCCTCCTCTGGCATTCCAGACAACCCTGTGTTACGGCCATTGGCTGATGTCCACTATACTGAATACTGCAAGCGATTATAATATAGGGGTATTGGTTTACATATGTAAACTTATTATAGAAAAGGTACAGTAAAAATAAGTACAATACATATAGTACTTTATAAAAATTCATACAATTGTATAGGGAGGCATTTACCAGAATGGGGCTTGATACTGGAAGTTGCTCTGGGTGAGTCAGTGAGTTGAGTGGAGGGTGAAGGGGTAAGCCCAAACTGTACACTTAGGCTACACTCATTTAGAAACATATTTTTCTCTCAATAAATCTAAATTTTTACTTTATAAATATAAAAAAATTTTAAATGTTTTTACTCTTTTGTAATAATACTTCAGCTTAAAATATGAGCACTCTGTACAGCTATACAAAAATACTTTACCTATAAGCTTTTCTAATTTTAAAAACTTTTTGTTTTTACTTCTTTGTTAAAGATATAAACACATTAGCCTAAGGCTATGCAGGGTGAAAATCATCAATTTCACTGTCTTTCACCTCCACATCTTGTGCCAGGGAAAGGTCCACAGTAACATACAACATACGTGGAGTTATCATCTCCTGTGATAACAATGCCTTCTTCTGTAATACCTCCACAAGGGCCTGCCAGGGACTGTTTTACAGTTAACTTTTTTTGTGTAAGTAAGAGTAGACTCAAAAGTAACAACAAATAGTATAGTAAATACATAAACCAGTAACTGGTTATAATCACGATCAAGGATTATATGCTACACATAATCGCATGTGCTATTAAAACAGGTTACACCAGCGTCACCACAGACATGTGTGTAATGTGTTGTGTCATGATGAGCGTATCACTAGGCAATACGAATTTTTCAGTTCCATTATAATCCTATGGGACCACTGTCATATATGCAGTTTGTTAACTACAGTCACTATGCCTCATGTGACTGTATGATTGTTTTCATCTCATATAATGAAATGCTTTAACATAAGTGGCTATGACAATGCCTTATAATTAATCTGCAGAATATTAGAGGATGACAGAGGTTGAATTTAAGATTCTTATCAAATTAAAACAGATATTTCTAGTATAATTCACAATCTAAATGGATTTGGAATTATTTTATTTCCTCACTGTATGGAAGAGGCCAAGTCATAAAACCTAACTGGCCATATAGGTCATCACAGTTCTTATCCTGTCATGTCCTTCCTATTCACTCCCAACATTACTTGGTGGTAGACAGGAATTCCATACCAAGGAGGATGACAGTTCGAAGGAAGAAAAAAAATTCAAAAGATTCTACCAACTCATTCAATGATCATGTATTCCTTATTTGGCAATGGCAAACGCTTAGTTTTAAAATCCAAAGAAAGACATACTTCGCAAATTACAGAAGATATAGGATTCCGTTTGTCCTTTTAATTCATCAAATTAATTTTTTTTTTTTTGGCTGGAGCTGGGTTTGAACCCGCCACCTCTTAACTTGGCATATAGTTTGAGAGATGGTGAGTAAATCCGTAACAGTTCATTCATGGTTTCATTTGATAGGTCTAAGTCTTGACTTTATAGCTATGAAATTCCAAGTTTGTGCCTGAACATGTAACTAAAAGAATAAAAACAAAATGACCAGTAGTATGCACCATTTTAATTTTTATTCATAAAATATAAACCTAAACTCAAAACAACTGCTTTGTTCTTGCGTCTAATCTGACCACATTTTGAAGACGTCCTCTTTATGAGAGGACTTAGGTGAAAACTGTCAATATACTACCATTGAAAACTGTAGATTGAATTACCTAAGGTTAGGTAAGTAATATTTTGAAATGAGCAAATTAAATATTAGGAAGCAACAGAAATCTCACCCTCAAACAAAAGGGGACTCCCTTTAATCTTCAATTAAAACTAATTTGCAATCAGAACAAAAGTCATCATGATCAATCATGCTGCACAGCTGCTAAAGGAAAATATTGAGGGAACTCATGGATAATTTTCACGGCTTCATTGTAAAGTCCAAGATC